ATGTATGTATGTATGTATGTATGTATGTATGTATGTATGTATGTATGACTAAGCAATAAAGGACATTATGTATTAGTGGCTCCATTCTACAGGGAGAGAAAGAAGATGCTAAGAGACGCGAAAAGTGAAAAGACCTAAAGACCAAACAAGCCCTAAACAGATTGTCATGGTTTTTTTTTCTTTTCTTTTCTTCTTGTATTTGTCTGTGTTTTTCAAAAATTCTATAACACACATATATTAGAAACAATCTTTACCAAAGTCATCAACAGAGCTTAAATGCTTTGAAACCCACACATTCTCATTACAGCAGCTCAGCAAACAAAATGTCACCTCCTTTGTAGAATCCCTTTCATCAGCCGCAGCCACCTTATTTATGTGACCTCCTTTCTTCTCCAGGATGTAATTTGTATTTTAGTTTGAAGAACCAGGTGACAAAGGAGAAAGAAAAACTCAACAAATCTTCCAGCAATCTGGAGGCTGATTTTTCTCCCAGCAAGCACATCTCTGTGGGGAGGGAAAGAGAGACCGTGCTGAATGCGGGTGAGCTAAGGTCAGCACTAAATAGAGGTGTCACTTTTCCCAGGGTTCACTGGAAGGATCAAGTGACTCCCTCTACTGAGAAGATACCATTCTATCTTTAACAGAGTCTCCTCAAGGCTTTGCCGTTTCCTTCCACGCTGTCTCCTCTCCTCTCCAGGGAAGAATCCCATAGGCTGTCTTTGCCTGGGAAGGCTGAGGACTGGGAAGAAGTGGGTCAGGGTAAGAGTGTGGGAAAAGAGGAAAGACCATACCAGGGTAGGCTATAGACATGTCCTCCTCAGTTGCTTGCCACCTTATATCATTTTTGAGATAAGCTCTCTCAGTGAACCTGGAACTCCCTCATTCAGCTACTCCAGCTTTCTAGAAAGCCCTCGGGGATCCTTTCACATAGGTTCTGGGGTATCAAAGCTTGTTCTATGTGTACTTGACGCAGGCTAGAGTCACCTCAGAGGAGGAAGCCTCAGAGAAAATGTCTCCATAAGATCAGGCAGTAGACAGGCCTGTAGAAACCTTTCCTTAATGAGCAATTGATGTGGGAGGGCCAAGCCAATGTGGACGGCACCACCCTGGGTTGATGCAACTGTATGCTATAAAAAGGTAGACTGAGCGAGCCATGAGGAACAAGCCAGTGAGCAGCACCCCTCTCTGGCCTCTGTCTCCGGTCCTGCCTCCAGGTTCCTGCTCTTTCGGAATCCCTGCCCTAACAGCCTTCAATGACGACCAGTGATAAGGATGAATAGCAAAATCAACTCTTTCCCCCCAACACAAGTGTCACGGCAATAATAACTCTAAGACACCAGCCCTCATGGATAATTATTTTACTGTTCAAAAATTCTCTCTCCACTGAAGCAGCAAGCACAGGGTCTACATGGATCTGCACCAGGCCCTCTCTGTATGTATTATTGCCTTCAGTTCAGTATTTTTATGGGACTCCTGAGTGTATGAACAGATGGGTCTCTGATTTTTGTGCCTTCTTGGGGCTCTTTTTCTTCTGTTGATTTGCCTTCTCCAACTTCAATGTGATTGCTTTTGTTTTATTTTTATATTTTATTTTGTTATGTTTTGTTGTTTTCTCTTAGAAGCCTGTTCTTTTCTAATGAGAGACAGAAAGGGAGGGAATCCAGATGGGAGAGGAGGTAGGGAGAAACTGGGAGGAGAAGAGGGAGGGGGACTGCAATCAGGATATATTATATGAGAAAAGACTCTATTTTAACAAAATGGAAACATAAAAAGTAAAATAAAAATTAAAATAGAAAAAAAAAAGGCCCTCACTCTCAGTGATTGGGAGAATCTGTAGCTATAGTACACAGTCCAAGGAAAGGCCTAGTCTGAAATCAGGCAGGCAACGACAAATAGCAGTTCTTCATATTTGGCATGCCAGCTCTCTAACCCCTTTTCATGGTCGTGCTTGGGATGGGCAATGGCTCATGTGGCCATTCTCCTTATCGGTTTTTATTTCATTCTTCTTTAGCAATGGCGGTCACCTCCCTCTCAATGCTCTCTTTTTAAGAATTTCTTTATTTTTAATTATGTGTATATATGTGTCAGTTTGTGGGTATGTGAACATGAGTGTAGCGCTCACAGAGGCCGGAAAAAAAAAGCTTCCGATCTCCCAAGGTTGGAGTTACAGGTGGTTGTGAGCTGCCTGATGTACCTGCTAGGAACCAAACTCAGGTCCCCTGAAGGAGCAGTATGTGTTCTTAATCGCTGAGTTATCTTCCCAGCACTTCAGTATTCTTTTGAACAACAGTGCAGTCCAAACCTGTCTACTCCTTCATTTTTCCCCTAGGGTCAGGTAAAGTCTAAGCTGCCATAACAAAAATGTGGTGCCTTCATTACCCACACACTCATGCCCATTCCCAGTGTATGCAGGGGCTCTGCCCCTCACACTTCCTTGGGAAGCCAGGATCCTAAGTTTTGTTTACCTTTTGTGTCATAGGCTGATATCACTGCAACATTCAGTGTGGCCTATGAGTGTGTCTTTGAAACTGTGTGACAGGAAATCTGGGGTGCGCTGCTTTATTTATTAAAATGAATAAACACTATTTTTTTTTTCAGAGTAGCTTTACGTTCACAACATTGAGCAGAAAGTCCAGAGAGCAGCTGTGTGAACTGTCCTAATGTGCTGTCTGTCCTCTTACGTGCAAAAATTGCTGCACTTTTGACACCCCACACCACAGTGTGACATCAGTTGCAGTCAATGAACCATTATGGAGAAGTTGCCATCACCAGAAGAAATCGCCATCATATGAAAGACATCATGGTTGTTCCTAAATTTCTGGCAATTACAAATAAAACTGCTGTGAACATCCATGTTGCGAGTTCATATGTGGATGTAAACTTTCAGTTCATACATCACCTGGATCATTCCTCTCCCAAGGCTGGGCCACTTGTAATCCCTGCAGCACTAAATGAAGTCCCCTCTACTATCCACTTACCGTCCTTTGCCAGCATTTGTTGTTGTTTGTTTGGCTTTTGACCATTTTAATAGCATCCTAGTGCTAACTTGTTTTACTTTATTTGTTGCTCTCCCCACCCCATGCATTTTTCCCTGGGTGGGGGCCTTCATATCAACTTCTTCCTTCTCCCTTTATTCCTCATGATGGCATGAGTCCTGATCAGGCGGTCCAAGATATATCTTTTCTGATGTGGGAGAGCTGTGGACAGGAGCCACATGTTCATGTCTTTCTCAGGGGAATGTAAGGAGCCCCACCTGCAGCTGGGACCATTTCCTGTGGAATTGACTTAATTGGTAGGAGGATGAGGGTGGTGATGTCGTGTGGGCTCTCCTGGCCTCGTTGCTTCACAGAGTCACAACTCCACCAGGGAGAAAATGTTCTCAGAACACTTCAACATAAAGGGAAAAGCTGGATCAAGGAGGGCCTCCAGCTGGAAGGCTGTGTGTGTAGGGGAGGAGAGAAGGGGGAGCCCTTCTGAATTTGGTGTTAAGCTGAGGACTGTCCAGATCAGAATAGGGTTCTAGACTACTTTCCACTGATGTTTTGCTATGCTTTGAGGTTATTGCCTAAGGGCTCATGTGTTCCTAGAGATTTGGTTGTCAGTGTGGCATCGTGAGAGGTGGTAGAACCCTCAAGATGTAGAGAGCCTCAGGGTAGACTCTTGGGTCCGTAAGGAAACTGCCTTCAGAAAAAATTAATGCAGCTCCCACAGAACTCCTGAGTTCTCACAAGGAAAGGTGTTTTAAGAATGAACCTGATGCCCGACCTAGTCTCTGGTTTCTTGTCTAGTGACATTATCTGATCTCTTTCCCCATGTGCTCTTGCCATGATGCTACATGTCATTAGACTGTTACCAGAAGCTAACCCAGTGGATTGCTAATCTTATACTGGCAGCCTCAGAATCTGTGAGCCAAATAAACCTCTTTTCTTTGTAAAGTTCACCTGTGCCAAATATTTTGATAAAGTATCCAATTAGTAATACAAATTATTTTGTTATAGTATCAAATCAGTAATACAAATTAAAACCTTTTCTCTGGCAACAGTGTTGAATGTGGATATGGGGCAAAGAGAGGGAAGGAAATAAGGGGCCAATGAAGAAATGAATAAAGAGGATTATCGAAGGAAGCTGACACCTGAACTAGTTCAAGGAAGAAAGCTTAGAGAGTATAGCCTGAACCAAAGATTGTGGCTAGGAAATTACAGAAATGAGAGTCATTGCCAGCTCTGATGGGGTTAATTAAAAGTAATAATCTCAGATGAGGGCTGGAGAGATGGGCTAGTGGGTAAAGTGCTTGCTGCTTGCGTATTAGAACTTGGATTTGGATCCCCAACACTCACATAAATGCTGGGTATGGTGGTAGGCATCCGGAAACCCAGTGCTGAGGAAGCGGAAGTCAGCTGGCCGGAAGGAAGCCCTAGGTGGAACGTGAACATCTGCTTAAGAGGAGGGCAAAGGAGGATAAGGACACCTATCAGTGGCAGGAGATGAGGGAGGAGACTCAAGAGAGATGCCAAGGACTGAAATGAGAAACATAGCAAATGCCAGGCTCAGACTGAGCCTGGGGTCACTCACTGGCTCTCACTGGCTGGAGGTGTTGCTTTTGAAAGCAGCTTGAGTTGAGTCGTGGGGTCAGAAGGCAGGTAGGAGTCCCCAAGTGGGTTTAGGAGTGAGGAGGTCATGACACCACGTATAGGTGCCCTATTCAAGTTTCTTGGCTGAGAGGCAAAGGAGAGGCCAAAAGAGATTTGCATTTGCACAGCTGAGTCTTGATGCATTTATAGACAGGGTAGCGAGCCAATTGGAAGCTAGGGAATACTCTATTGAAGAGGGGCGTGGGGGATCAAGGATGGAGCAAGATTCCAAAGATAAAAGTAGATAGTGATTGAGCAGATGAGCTGGGACAGAGAGAAGGTAGTGTGTGTGCCAGAATAGGGTGAGGAGGCACACTGAATGGGAGAGATCTCAAATAAGGGGATTAACAAATGATACAGAAGTCTAGATTATTGCTGCTTATTTTAATGGAGGTGGGAGGAAGCAGAAGTTCATGCCAGTGACCCCATTTGTGTGTGTGTATGACAAAATAGGAGGCCAGGCCATATGCTTAGAGAAGATTAGAGCTAATGATAACCATCAGGCAGATCTGAAGATGACAGTCCAGGAGTGGTAGTCTGCAGCTGGGGAAGATGGCTTAGCAGGGAAGAACACTTGTTTTGCTGAAGACACGGGATCAGTTTCCAGCACCCACATGATGGCTCACAACTATCCATAACTCTAGGTCCAAGGTACTGGATGCCCTCTTCTTACCACCAAGGGCACTAGCTATGCGCGTGGTGCCCATAAGCCTGAGACACTACACTCACTTAGATAAAAGAAAAATCAAGAAATCTTTTTTTAAAACTTTCAAAAAAGAAGTGTCAGTCTGTGCTTTACCTCAAGAAAAGGAAGCTAGGAGGATGCTGCAACCTGTGTAGAAAGGGGGAAGAGCTGGAAATGGGTGTGCTGTG